TGTTACGATGAAATTTTTCCGTTAAATACAGTGTTTCCCCTACAGGGGCTCAGGCGTGGCGCTGCACCCCCACGCTCATGGCCAGAGCGCGGCACCGAAACATTCCATGTGCCATTACCCCCTTCCTCGCTCTCATGGCAGTGAAACGGTCTGCAAATGTAAACACCCCATATTTGTGAATTATTAATAACAGGTCTGGATGTGGTTTGGTCTGAGGTCTAAAACTCTGCCCTGGGCCTAAAGCCCTGCAGTAGGGCTGCAACAACGAATCCATAAATTCGATGAAAATCGATTACTAAAAGCGTTGGCAACGAATTGCGTCATCGATTCGTTGTGTTGCGCAACTCTTCCAAAAGCCCCCTCCCCTCCCGCCCGCCGTTGCGCGCAGACCGGTGGAGAGCCGGCAGGTGTTTGTAAAAGAGGAGCATGGCAGAAGCAGCGAGACTCCAAAAAAGTAAAAACTTCTAAAGTTTGCGAGCATTTTCAGTTAAATCAGGCGAAGACATTCAACGTTTGTAGGTCAGACAGCATGGCATGGGGATACTACGGTGATGATGCAGCGTCTTAAACACAAGCATGTCAGAATCATCAGCGAGGAAGGAGAGAGCTCTGTGTCCGGGTAAGTTAAAAACTTTTCAAAAGTGATTCACCCAAGCCCCGGATTATTACACAGGCTAGACATGCCCTAAGCTCGTATAAAAAAGTCCATAAAATTGTAAGCGCGACGCTATTAGATAGGCGGGGGGGGGGGGGGGGGGACTCGCGCCGCTGCGAACCGGTTCCGCCGTCACATTCCCGCAGAAACTGGTTGATCACACCGGGGCCAGACTACTAGCATGTGGCTTTACAACCACAATGTCCTCAGAAGCGAAAACGCTTTTAAAAGGGAGGGAGGAGTCCTAACTGTTGCTGCAGGCGTGTTGTGTGAGAGTGCAGTTATATACTGGTTAATATATTTTTGGGTTCAGTTGCTTTCATGTGGCCTAATGTGAGTCTATTTGGGATCATTGGAATGATCAGCAGGATTTCTTGATGTGACTTTATGGCAGTTGCCCAGGGCATCATCACAAGGAGGATGGCATTCATTTACTTTTGTTTTATTTGGTATTTTTCAGTCATTTTTGGAAATACGGTAGTGATTAATTTTAATTAATTCACAGCCTATGTTTAATTACATTTAAAAATTAGTTGTTTGACATCCCCAGTTATAATAAATGTCTACGGATGAGATCAAACAAAACAGATGAGAATTGCCCTTAAAGAGCAAGTCACCCCCAAATAAACTTTTTTTTGCTGATAGACTAAATAAACGAGTGTCTAATCGTGCTGCAGACACGTGTCATCAATAATTTGGCACTTCAGTGCATCTTAGTTCAAATTTAAATATTCTGCCTAAAACTGGCAGTGTTGTGCCGTTGTCAGGTAAAAACTCTGCACTGTATTTGAATTTAAATCTGCCACCGCTATTGGCTAAGAAGTATGCTATGATGTAAACTGGTACATTATGATGTCACAATGCTGTCGTGAGCCTGAGTGTGTGTGTATTTGTTAGCGGCTCCGCCCTCTCGGTCTGCCAGGCAACAGCATGTGTTGCATTTTTCAAACATAAAGCAGGAGTGGAGTTAGACTCTGGTAGGGGTTGACTTGCTCTTTAAGCTGTTTAACTTGGACCAAGCATTTTAGGTCACAGATAGGTGTAGCTTAGGGTCTCTGTCTATACGCCTTATAAGACAATTTAGGTGATGGCATGTTGTTTTTCTGCTATTGAACTGTTTTCTAATAATGTTGTGTTTAATAAAGTGAAGGAAGGAGAAAAATAACGTTTCCCTAGCAGTTTTTAAAAATGTCCCTATGTAATCCGATTAATCGATTAATCGTGTCGAGACCCCATCCGATTAATCGATTATCCAAATAATCGTTTGTTGCAGCCCTACCCTGCAGATACATTTAGTTTCTATAAACAACAACAACAAATCAACAACAGCAGCTGGATTCTGCTTTCTTCCTTAAATTAAGTCACATAGTTTTGCAAGTTCTGTATGATCACACATTCACCAGCAGCTCTGCCAGCTGATTGGCTCTTTAGTAACTAGTGACATCATGCAGGTCTGGCACTGAGCAGCATGGATGCATCAGAGGATTTCGCTGTAGTCGGTGTTCGTAATAGATCAAAGACAGGACAGGATGTATAATCCATCACGTATAATATTATAATACCATGAACATGTAGAGATACTTTATTCTCACCAGCCTGTTACTCTAGTTTATTTCTCTCAAAATGCACCAGACTGATGCTTTTAAATATAAAATGTCCCACATTTTCTGCCGAGGGGGCCATGCCCCCGGCCCCCCTGTAGTAGTTTAATGCTCATCATCTTTTTCATGTCTGCTCTTTGGTGCTGGTGCACACCTTGTGGTGGAAGAAGAACTGGATGCATAGAAATCAGAGAAATGTCAACACACACTTTACAAAAGCTTGCTAGGCCCCTGCTCTCCTCCTCCGCCCCGCTGCTCTCACAGATGGAGCGCAGCAGCGAAACGGTCCCAGCGTTGTTTCCCTTCTCAAATATCACTGTGTGTCCTATATGATAAATCTTACTTAAATATTTTAACAACCAACGATTTATACAGGAACATCATAAAGATGTCCAAACTTTTGCACCCCTCTGTAGACATCTATGCACTCCAGTAGGCAGGACCTGACATGACTGAGCTGAGAAGAAACAACCTGGTGAAACGAAACAAGATGATCTGGCACTAATCAGATTCTAAATCCTGGCAGCTGAAGACGGTTCACCGCCTCAGGCTTCACAGACGAGACAACGAGGTTAATGGCTGTAAATACAAACATGAAAAGTAAGGAGAGCAAAGCTTTTGGGTGAGGGAGTGTGGTCACTGTGTCATCCAGCAGTCTAAACATATTGCCTATAACTGATTGGATGAGCCAGGAAAACCTTGCTAACTCCATCTAGAAGATTTTTCACAATCTGAGGTCTGGTCTTAGAAGCAGACCAGGTAGTCGGTGCGTCTGCCACACCACCATGAAGGACCGCAGCCCTGCCTCCCATTCTACATCCAGATCCTCTGCGAACCACTAAACCTGCAGACTGAGAGCCAGGTGCTCTGTTGGCAACATCTGGAACAAGAAGATGTCTAATGTAGTCTGAAGCTGGGTGACAGTCACTGATATGTAGTAACGTGTTTTTGTATGGTTTTCTTTCAAAGCCAGTAAATATTTAACTGCCTCTGTATTGTTCTGCCGGTGTAATTAGATCCACCAGGACTTTGTGTTTAATTTTAATTTATTAAAAGTCAGCGTGTCATTGCAAGGGAGAACAGTGCAGATCCAATTAGCAGTGTAACATGTAAACATGAACACCAACTCCCATGGTGCACGGGGTCTCTGTATGCCTTTACACGTGTATGAATGTGTGTTTGTGATTCACTCATCAGCGTGATTTCTTAATCATTACTTTCTGCTCCAGATGAGACTTTATGAGGAAACTAAATTGCCTTAAAGGGATTTCTTATTGAAGGGATTACATCCATGTAATTCCTTTTGTCCCAGTGGAACCCCAAAATCCTCGAGACACACAGATGAACACAAACTCATACATAACCAGATTAGTTAGCTGAAATAATGTTAGTCCTAATTTAGTGAAAATGAAAGCACGCACTAACTGGTGCCACTTGTGGACGCTTTAGCTTTGTGTGTGAACAGTTTCTGCATGTGCCTTTGATATAAATCACTTTATTCATGGTGTGTTTTTCTTTTAGCGGCTGGGTCTGTGTGTACATGTGTGTTTACAGAACAGCAATGTGGTTTCACTTTCCTCTTCTCTTCCCAATTAATGAAGGCAAATCCTCCTCTGTCACAGCTAATGAGAGTGTTTAAGGTGAAGGGAGTCTGAATTATTTTAATGAGATGAAGACTATTTATTCTATTTTCATAAAAATGAAAAATGTCGCTGATTATCTGTGGATGCTGAGGGATGGATGACAAAAGGGGGAGGAGGTGTTTGCATCCCCGTCCTCCACAGAACCAAACAGATCGAGTTGCACATGTTCTTTAGACCTTCAGTGACACTAACGCTCAGAAAAGCCTAACGTAGGATGTTACACAAGATCTTGTAGTAAAATAATTTTAGTCTGAACCAATTTGAATCAAAGATGTCTCATAATAATAAGTAAGATCTCTTTAACTATTACATCACTTAATCTAAGCGGTGCCATTTCCTACCATTGTGCACGCGCTGTGCTCTTTTTTCAATCACCAGGGTTGTTGTGGTCAGCCGTTGCACCAGGGATAGCACGAGTAGTCAAGAATTCCTTTTCCAAGCTTTGTTTTAACCTGCGTCACATGTAGCAGTCAGGCATCCATGTTGCCTTTCACTGCTCCTCCTCTCCCACACTGCCCCCTGGTGGTAAACTCAACACACAGGTCTTCACTGCTCCAGGGTCCCCGCGGGTCATCTGTCAACAAAGAGCTATGAACCAATAAACAATCATTCTGAATGTGTGTGTAGAACAGAAAAACCGAGGAAAACAACGTCAGATAAAAACATAACCCAATGCTCGATGAGTTCCCCTTACAGGGTACCATTGTTTCTTAACTCCCATCATCTTTCCGACCCAGGATGAAGACCACATTCCTCTTCCTCAATCTGAGTATTTTAGGTGGATAGAATAATTGTTATCGTTATTTCTTCAGGTGGAGTTGACGGGCAGCAGTGTGTTTGACTACATACACCCTGGTGATCACGTGGAGATGGCGGAGCAGCTCGGCATGAAGCTTCCTCCAGGCAGAGGGATGTCTCTGTCTCAGGGAGCCGTCAATGAAGATGGGGCATCCTCTGCTTCTTCATCATCACATTCTGAGACACCTGAACCAGGTAGGACTTGAGAGGAGGTGTTGGAAAATAGAGCCTTTTCATCATCAGTGCTCCTGAAGATCCTCGAACTGGAAACCCCAGAAACAACGAACAGATAAACAAGTTATAGTGAGTTAAAGGAGAATGATAGAGAGAACAAATATATCTCCAGGAGCTGAAAGCCACACCTCTTACTGCGCACACGCATATGCTGGTCAAGTTAGCTCTTGAGCTAACACCATTAGCCTATGGTGAACACAGCATACAGCAATATTTAATGTAAATAAATTACAGTTAAAATACAAATACTAAGTATTTACCTGTCCACAAAAAACGTTGACCCCTTTTTTCTGTGTTGAGCCTCAACGCGTCTCCAATGTGAATTTTACCGAACGTCTCACAGCGAGTTTTGCGAAAGGGCTTTTAAAATGTTTACATTTACCTTGAGAAGTACAAGGCCGTAGAGGAATCTGTAACTGTGGTAGTTGGGTGGGTTGAGGGGGAACTTACTTACTTTGTATCATAAAACAGGATCAGATATATTAAAGCATCTTTAAAAGTCCTCAGTGGTCACACTGAGCCCTATCTCTGGTACATGCAGCAGTCTAGCTGCGTGGTGACAAATTCAGACCAAGCCTTTGCTTCCGACACCAGAAACAAGGGCTTGGTCGCCCAGCATCATTGTTTGATGCTTCCGGTGTGAGAACATGTTGAGCAGGGAAGGGACTGAACGATGCAGAATGGTAGCCCTTGACTTGGGCATGTGTGGTCACCATTTGTAGCATTTGTTTCAGAAGACAGAATGTTTTGACTTTCTTTTACAGCCTCAAATCATACACGCAACACAGAACCAGCCCTCTCTGCACCGGGGAAAACCCCTGGGTGTATAAAAGAGCTGACACCACAGGTTCTTGATCAGTTAGGTGCACTGCAAAGATCACACCTTTGACGATCACATTGTCTGAAATCACAATCTCGATGAGAAAATGATAGACGGTTCAGTCTTACATAGAAGAATATTACTTTCTTTCTGTCAGTAAGACAAGGTGGTTTTCCCAGATGTTCTTTCATACCTGCCCACAGTTTCAGCTGCACACTTCAGTCATCCTCAGAGCACCATTTGGCTTCCAGCTGTTGTGTAATAGGAGTGAGTATTTGGAGGACATTGGTTGTAAGTCTTGTGTATCTTTGATGGACTCAAAGGGAGTATGTGAGTCCTAGTAGCATGTACTTTCTCCAGCATCCGTCTCAACCGACCTTGTTAAATTCTTCAGATTGTTTTGGAATATCTCAGCATTCCGTACCATGTTTGACAACGTAAATGTGACATCACAATATCAAGGTGTTTAAAGACAATTTCTGTGAGGGATTCTTTGTCTTGTCGGCTATCTCTCTCCCCCCCCTCCTCTGCTCTACCACATGATCAACACTTTTTACCTTCCAAACACCCCCTTGTGATTACCCCCCCCCCCCCCCCCCCCCCCCCATACTGATGATAATTTAAGCATTAGGGGAAAATCCATTTATAAATTAAACAAAATGACTTGATATCCATCAAGTCCCTTAGTTCATCAGCCTGTTCAAACAAGGAATTGAAGATTGGCTTTGCGGCGGCTGGGGTCTTCGGAGACGGCACAGTAATTAGATCTGCCGCGGATTTATTCTGGGTTGATTGGTGATGGTGATGGGTGTGTATATGTGTGTGTGTTTGTGAGTGAGGGTTATGGGCTGGGGGATGTAGGGATGGGGTAAATTAATTTGAGTTCATTGGAGTTCCACATTTGAGGGTTTTTTGTTCTCTTTTTTGTACGACTTTCTGCAAACCTCTAACTGAGTCCCCAGTGTACTAAACTAGACATGGATAAAGAGTGGGATGTGAGGACATCTATGTGGTCATCAAAGTCAAATTGTCTGTGAAAGAAAGTAATAGGCAAAGATTTTCAAACCGTGTGGATGTTCCCTGATCATTTCCCCGAAAGATAGAGGGACATTAAAACAAAGAAATGAAGGACATATGTGTGTATTTTTTTTCAATGACTAAAAGAATAATTTTGACCAAAGTCATAATCAACAAACAATGCAAGACAAAAGGGCTTTTCCCCTTTCCTGGTTAGTCTGTAGAGACTGTGGGACAGAGATAGACGTGTGTGCACAAGGCTGAATGTGCATGAATGTTTAACAAAGTGAATTTGTCTGCATAAAAATATACAAAAGGGGTAGAGAGGTCTCAGACAGCCATGCATGAATGCAAAAATGTGTTCCCCAGTGACAGTCTGACCACAGAGAGCAAGAGAGACATTTAAGGATTGGTGAATTTGTTCTTTAATGTAAATCAGCCTGGAGTGAAAAAACACAGTTATGCTTATATAACACACACATCCGTGCATGTACCCTGCGTAGGGAAAACTTCACACATTGTTTGATGTTTACCATTTTGTACTTTTGTGAAGACATGTTCCTAAATATAAGAACAGCTCTGACCATGCATACAAACAGCTTCTAGAGGTAGACTGGGAGAACCGCAAGGTCTCGTCATCCACGCATGTTCCTGATTCAGAATAAGTACTTCTGTCTGTAGAGAAGCAGCTTTGTTGCATAGCTGGTGTTAGAACCTCTAATAGACACCTGTGACCGATGGGACTTTGACATTGTAGCATGGCTGATCTTGTGTTATTGGAGGATTTGACAGAGTGTGCACTCCAGAGAAAACGTATCCTCTGTGAGCTCATAGATCTGCTTGGTGAGAATACAGGACGATTCAGCCTTTTTGAACTCATGCACATGTTGTTTGGGTTTCTGGATCGTGCCTTGTAATGGAAGCTATGTAGAGACTCTTTTGTTTTCATGGGGCCCTTAATGCCTATGACCGCAGTGATCCATTCACCCAGATGGGCATGGTAAAGAACATCTGAAGCTGTGTCTCACAAAGTTAGAGGCACGGAGTCCAAAAGGCCCATCTTTAAAGCCTTTTTTGCAGATGCAATGTGCTGGAGTTGTGGCCAAAATGTCACTGGTCTTTATAGGGTCATATGAGCTGGGAAAATGCAGGCAAATGGTAGGCGGGATTTCTTTTATAAAACCTATGGATCTCCATACAACCAAGGAAGAGATGCATCCACAATGTTGGCACTGAGTTCAGCTCATTCCGAGTGCAAGTTAGACTTAGTCCCTGAACTATTAAGTGGTGTTCATTTATATATATAGGGTACAGGAAAATATCTGATTATTGGAGATGATGTGGTTCTTTAGGTGCTCAAGGTTTACCCAACAGTGTGCACTGTAATGGTTGGCAGTCAAGATGAAAGTAGCTGGGATGAGTCAGCTCCTCTGAATAAAAGGCCATTGTTCTTCCATCCAACCATTGTCTTCTGCTTATCCGGGGTTGGGTTGCGGGGACAGCAACTTAAACAGGGAGGCCCAGACGTCCCTCTCCCCAGCCAGCTGGGCCAGCTTCTCCGGGGGGGATCCCATGGCATTCCCAGGCCAGACAAGAAACATAGTCCCTCCATTGTGTCCTTGGTGTTCCTTTGGGTCTCCAACTGGATTGACGTGACCGGAAAACCTCACCGGAGAGGCGTCCAGGAGGCATCCTTACCAAATGACTAAGCCACCTAAACCTTTCTCAATGCAGAGGAGAAACAGATCTACTCTGAGTTCCTGAAGGATGACCAAGCTTCTCACCATTTTTATAAGGGAGAGCCAAGATAACCTGTGGAGAAAAGTTATTTCAGACACTTGTTTCTACAATCTCATTCTTTGATCACTACCTAAAGCTTGTGGCCATAGATAGGTTGGTACGTGGATCGACCAGTCAGTCGAGAGCTTCACCTTCTGGCTCAACTCTCTTTACACCCCGACAGACCGGTACTATGCCCACACCCCTATGGATGCAGCACCAATCTACTTATTGATCTCTCTCCATCTTTCCCTCATTCGTGAACAAGACCCTGAGATACTTAAACTCCTCCGCATAAGGAAGGACCTTGTCCCTGACCTGGAGAAGGCATTCTAATCTTTTCCAACTCAAGACCATGGTCTCGGAAAAGTTAGTTATAATCCCATTAGTTGTCACACACACAGGTGTGTGTGCGAAATTTGTTCTCCGCATTTGACCCATCCCCTGGGGCAGCGGTGAGCTGCAGACACGCCGTGCTCGGGAACCATTTGGTGGTTTAACCCCCCAATCCAACCCCTTAATGCTGAGTGTCAAGCAGGGAGGCATTGGGTCCCATTTTTTCAAAGCCTTTGGTATGACCCGACCAGGAATCGAACCCCTGATCTCCCAGTCTCAGGGCGGACACTCTACCACTAGGCCACTGAGAAAGGTCTCTAGGCCACTGAGAAAGGACCTAAATCTTATCCCATCTGATTCACACTCTGGTATGAACTTATCCAGTAGAAGCTGGACATCACTGTCTGAAACCAACAAAACCACATTGACTGCAAAAAGTAGAGACCTGATCCATGGGCCACTAAAACAGATCCCCTCAACATCTAGAAATTCTAAGGGGAGCTTTGGTGGAGTCCAAATCTCTCCAGGAACAACTTACTGCCAGCAATGCTGACCAAGCTCTGGCACTGATAATAATGGGACTTAACAGACCATATCAAGGAGCTTGGTGTTAGGGTCCTTTTAATAGGGCACGGACTTGGCTCGGAATAGGGAATCCTGGTTCTGACCCAGAACATAAAAGATAAATTAAGTAGCAAAAGAGGAGCAAGGTAGAGGCAACTAAAAATATTTTATTCTTTACAAACCAAAGAAAACACATCAGCCAGGGACTGAATTTACTAACATAAATAACTAGACACAGTCCCAAAATAAAGAAAAGGGAGACAGAAAAAGAACTGGAGTCTAGTCAAATCTCTGAAAGAGATTAACAGAAAAGTCAAAACCTCTATTTTAGCAAAACCCACTAAACAAGCTGGTTAGTGGGGAAACAGGTGTTAGTATAACATCTAAAAGTAACTTAAAGTGTGTGTTTTGTGTGTGTGTGGGCAAACACACTCACAACCTTACT